TTGAATGTTTCACAGAAAAGTGAGGTTGTGTTTCAATATTTTGTCTCCAGGGTCGGTCATCGTGCACGCGACCTATATGAGAATCCTCAAGTGGTTAGTTTTTGACATCCAGGATGTATAGAAATAGTTTTTCAAGAATAACTCAAAACCGGGTTAGATTTTCTGAATTGTTGTTGGTGTATGATTTCCTCTTCGAAACCCTCAATATTTGACCGAATTCGATAACAAAAAATTCAACAGTTCTTGAAGTTATACCGGAAAAACTTTATTCATATTTCAACACCCTGTATCTCGAGAACTGTGCACTTGAGAACCTTATTGCAGTATGCTGTGATGCGTTGTCCGTCGAATTTCGTAATACCCTGTGTAGTATGGTCTGGTTTTTATTAACAAAAATTCAATAATACCTGTACTGTCCTCGTAGAAATGATGAAAAAAATTATATGAACATTAAAAATACACCGAATTTTTGATGTGCATTATTTTTCGATTCCGATTTCAAAATATAAGAGCGTATGCTAGAAAACGCTCTCTTGTCAATACAGAAACAGTGCAATAAAATGGTATTTTCCTGATCTATATATGTATATTTATTGATTCATTTGCAGTTCTGTCTACAAATTTAAGAGATAGCCTCGTCTTACAAAGACCCAGCTGCTTTATATATCATCATAGCTTTACATTGAAAAATTAATGTAAATCATAACAAATTCAGGAAAATTTGTACCTTGGTCACCCCCTGTTTCAGCCGCCATTTGAGTTTTGAACTTTTGATTAAAATAATATTCAGAGGTCACTCCATCGAAAGTATATTATATTTATATGAAATTGCTCCATTATTTTCACAAGTACCACTTACTGTTGAATTCTCCGTAACAAAAACCGGATCACCATGTATATTTCAAAACCAAGAAAATAAATAATCATGCATAGGACATTTTTGAGATCTAGAACATAAAGAAGTATCTACTGGCATTTTCCAAAAATTAGATTCAGATTCGATGAATAAAATGTGTAAATTTGATGCTGAAAATTAATATTCCTCTTTTTAATTATGGTAGACAAAATCATGAGATAATGATGGAACTTGTAACTCCAATAGCTTTATAATGGAAGTCAAGCAAAGTTGTTTGTCCCCAAATGTATTTCCCTGTCTCATACACATTTGATTCATTGAAATAAAAAAATTCCTATAAATCTCTTCGTCAGTGGCGGCTCGTCAGGATACGCAGGTGAGGCATTGCCACATCAGTGAGAACTAGAAAGGTGAGTCATTTTTTTGTGATAGTAAAAGCCAGCTGCTAATTTCGTCCGTCAGAGCTTCAACAGAAGAATATGTAAGAATAAGAAACATTTTCTGTTCGAACCCGAAAATATGACGATGCTCAATTGTTTTTTCAATGAACTTCATCTCATAAAACGATATAGGTACTTAGGTTCGTTAATTCACTCAATATTTCATCTTGATTAATTAATATCAAAGTTACCATTGGTGTGGGGCCTATATTCAATTCCGATAATCCTGTACTTGTCTAATTCATTTTATTTTGCCTACATGTTGAAAAGTATTCAGTTTGTTTTTGAAGGATTTATTTTATGTTCATAGATGAACATATAAAAGCACTTTTCAAATCAATTTCTGTCTATGTTTTTACTCATTTAATCCAGTTGAATAACTAATGGAGTATGTATATCTTTGAGGACCTTTTTGTCCATAATTTTGACGAGCGGCCACTGCCATTCGTGAACTTACGAAATTGACATTTTCTTGACTGCCAATTGAATGAAGCAGTACCTAGGAAACGTCATTTTCGTTAATATGCGAAGAGGAAAAAGAGTACCCGAATTACTCCATAATACACTCACCGGCAAAAAAGAACCGGCCGGCAAAAAAATAGGCCAAATTGATCGCCCTGTAACTTTTTCAATCATTGGCCGATTCTGGTGAAATTTTGACCAAATCATTGATTCATGTTTCGCCTGAATTTTTTTTAAAAGCTGATGACTTGATCATTATATCCGAGGAAAAACAAGAGTAACTCTTTCACCCCTACTTTCTTAACGATCTGTTTCAAAAGTGATTGGTGAAACTCAGCTTCATAAGGTTTTGGGTTGAAGTGTTTTGCCTTCTCAACACAATATTTTTTGATTCACGCCAATATCTCAATTTCGAAGCAAGATACTAGTGATTCAAAATGAAGTATGGATTTTTTTAATTTCAATTAACAGAAAATTCAGAACCATTCGCCAACGTCCTGCTTCATCATTCATCATGTTTTGGATTGAAGTATGATCTTTTTTCGCTCCTTCTCAACACAATGGTTCTTGATTCACGTCAATATCTCCTTTTTGAGAAAAGATACAAGTGTTTTGCGAAATTATGGATTTTCTAAAATTCTTATCTATAGATAGAACATCTTTGAGATGAACTCAAGAGGCTCATTTGACTTCGTCTGGCCTTGTCAGATACTTTTCAAGTGCTAAGTGATAGTGTAGTGCCACCTAGTGGAGAGTTGCGGTGGTTGAATCCATATCAATCGTATACCATTGCATAGATACCTGTCGAATTCATAACCTACAATTCATCACGCTGAACGAGTGAGTGAGATTTTCGGGCAGTGAGTTCAATGTTAAAATCTTAGGTAAGAATTCATTGTTATTGTGAATTTATTGTTATCTTATTTATCCATTGAATGTAATTATTGTTTTCGTTTCAAATGTATTAGAACACATTTCTTCAATGCATGTCCCACTTTTGCCCCCAGGAAAAATCATAATGGGGGATAGTGTGAGCTTTTTGTTGGGGCAAGTGTTAACCTGTTGCATACGGCCAATCTGATCTAATAATCCTACCTGTGCCACCCCTCAATCTGAGCGAAATTCACTGCACAGCGATTTATTTGTTGCCATTATTCCGGAAAAACTTCCGTCATGTGATAACGAGTTGGAACAAAAAGCAAATGGAAGGGGAAAATATCCCCTTTGCGAATATCCAAACGTGCCGCGACTGAAACTGATCTAAGTTCATGACAGAGCGTCAATATATCCGAGAATATTTCGCCCTGGTCGAAAGGTAATATCCGATGGACCAGTGTAAAATTCATGTAGTGCTCGCACTACAAGTATTCTAATCCACATTTCGTTACTCCCACATCGCGTCGTTCCCATATTTCGATATGCCCACATTTCGATACACCCACAGTCTCCGAACATACCCGAAGGAGGCACTGTTGCCAAATACTATCCTATATACCAGAATTCAATGAAACTGTCGTTGTGGGCCTATCGACACATTGCGTTACACCTACATATCGTTACACCTACATTGCTTTATGCCCACATTTCGTTATATGCCTACATTGCGTTACACCTACATTTCGATAGACCCACGTTTCGTTAGCCCCACATTTCCATATTCCCACAGTGTCCAAACATACCCAAAGGATGCACTGTTGCCATTTACAGTGCTTGATGCGTAATGCTCCGAAAAATATACTTTTTAGGAGAAAGGTTGATTTAGGCTGAGTTAGGTTAGATTATCGAAAAATATACTTTTTAGGAAGGTTTATTCAGTCCGAGTTAGGTTAGATTGTTATTAAAAAGTAAAGTTTTTTTTTGCTCTCTCAAGTAATATTCAGAAAAATATATTTCCTAGGAAGGAGGTTCATTTAGGCCGAGCAAAGTTGAAATGTTCAGAAAATGTAGTCTCCTTTCTTATACAGAAAGGATATTTCCTTTCCTCATATTATGTATTCGGAATCCAGAAAGCCATAGAGGGAAATGCTATAGCTAGACGCGTGTACCTACTAGACATTGTGGGTCTAATCGTAACGCACATTATTGTGTTACACCCACATCTGGCAAACGTGCATCCTTCGGGTCTGTTCCGAGACAGTGGAAATACAGAAATGTGGAGCTAACGAAATGTGGGCCGATCGAAATGTAGGTGTAACGCGCAATGTAGTGGTAACGAAATGTGGGCATAAAGCAATGTAACGAAATTTAGGTGTAACGTAATGTGTCGATAGGCCCACGATGACCGTTTCATTGAATTCTGGTTAATAGGATAGTTTTTGGCAACAGTGCCTCTTTTGGGTGAGTTCGAAGACAATGGGTGTATCGAAATGTGGGGCTAACGAAATGTGGGAACAAAGCGATGTGGGAGTAACGAAATGTGAGCACAACGCAGCGCATCCGTTGAGAAGGGATCACAATTCAATCCAGAACATAAAACATTATGAAGTTTAGTTTAATCACTCACTTTTGCCACAGGGCGTTAAGAAATTATGCGTGAAATGGTAACTTTTATTTTTCTCTGTATCTTGATCGAACCATCAGCTTTTTTCTGGAACTAAACTTCAGGTTTATTTATCTGTCGGCATTTCACCAAAATCGGGTAATGATTAAAAAAGTTACAGGGCGATTAATATGGCAAAATTTTTTGTTCTTGTTGTTTTCTACTCATCGTACTGGCTTGAACTTCTTCCACACTGAACGTGTATTGTCTATTCTCGTCATATTATTATGTTATTAATCCAGGATAAATATACACTGAGTGCATATTTTCAGTCTAGTGGAAAACAGTGTAATTATCTATGAGCAAATCGGAACGAGTGAGATAAACTTTTACATTAAAATCTCCGTTGTCGTGTTTTTTCTCATTGGTTAGGTATAACATTGAATACTTATTCACCTATACATTAATTTTAAACTACCTAACAATTATTGATATACTGGAAAAGTTCTTCGAGTAGAGTCTCGAAAGTTTCAAATATGATATATGTATATAATATATACTTAATACGAGAAATAACATTAATAGAGTTTCGGAATCAGCTCATAACGAGTATTGATTAACTCGTATACAGAATAATATAAAAAGTCAGTTCTAAATAGTAGAGATACCTAAAATTTAGAATGTCGATGACGAAAGTGTAAAAATTTGTAGAATAATTCCAATTGATAGAAAAATAGTAATTTGTCGCGCTTCTGAAGCCTATTTACAAAACGTGAAGGTTTTCGCAGGACTTTGATTTGCTGATGTCGTTCATGCAAATCTTCTGGAGAATTTCCCTCGCTATATTCAGGCTCAGGCTAGTCTTTGAACCATGCAGTTTGTTGGTGTCCTTCTTCAGGTTACACTTCTTTTTTTCTCTCGATTCTCGCAGTCTTATTTGTTTCAAGATGCCGACTAGGAGTTCGTCAACATTGTGCTGGATACCGCTAGAAGTTTCTATGAATTTGCAGTCTCTTGCTACGGCCAAGGCTTTTCCTTCTGAAAAATTAATGATGATTTCAGTGGCGTAATTGAAATTCACCGTGTAGATTGCTTCTCTTACTGAGTCAGAAACAGTAATAGACACAGCAGCCGAAAATTTGGCATTTTTCAAGATCATCTTTAATGCCACATGAATGATATAGCAAACCTGGATATGGCGAATTATTTTTATTCAAGTCATTTCAGCAGAATCCAAATTTTTTTTATTGTAAATAGTATGTTTACTATCGGTGACACGTTATAAAAAACTACCCCCTATAACTCTATTATTTCTGACAGTATTGAAACAAATCAAAAACAGACCCACAGGAGATTTTATTTCCTTCTTGAATCAACACATACATTATTGTCACTATCTGAAAAAATATACAAGGAACAGCAATAGTATATTGTTTAACGAGCACGGAATGATATTGATTTCCCACGAGAATGAAGTTTGCCGTAGTCTCATGATGCAATCATTCGAGTGGGAATAATTATTAGCATTCCGTGCGAGTTATACACTATAATTTTTGTACGGCTGTAACAGATAACAGCGACATTTTCGATTTCTTCGTCTAGTAGCCATATGATTTCCTCACAAGTAATGCTCATTCATTTGACAGAGCTGTCATTGTCCGAAATTTGATATTCCATGGGGGATGAGATTTTTTCGAAATGATAACACGATAAAGTCATTGTGATATCAGAAAGGGGAAATAAAATTGATGACATAAAAAGTATCTCATCGATGTATCGAACACAGTAAAACAAGAGTTTGTGTTATAGTCGTAGAAAAAAAATTCCTCACCATTGGAAGGACGTTTCGAAGAGCTCTCCAAGAATACCCCACTCATACAGGGTTACATTATAATAAATACATCAAATTTGAACCCTTAGAAGGCTCAAGTGATACTATCAAATGGCGCCATTGAAGAAAATATAGGGGTCAAAAAAAGATTTGAGGCAAGACCATTTCTTCCGCCCAAAATTTTACTCATCCAGAGCTAGTCGCTTATTCATCTGATGTCATAGTGTTATCAAATTCTCATGGGGACGACAGAGTAATTAAGATTTCAATACAGGGTGATTCATTGGGAAATGCGCATACAGTAAGGGTAGTTGGATTGGAGGTCGACGAGGTGCTCCTGAATAATCTATATTTCATGGGTATATCATTCTTTATAAGCAAGATACAGGGTATTCATTAATTTTACCAATTTTTTCCATAAATCATTACTTATGAACCACACTATACATTTTATTGATATTTGATTCGCATGTTCTTTGTTCACAGTGGTGACGATTGACATAATAAAAAAAGTCTTATTCCAGGACCGGCTTTGAAGAAATCAATATGTAGGTTTCGAGTCGAAACAACACGCTTCATATTAATATTGAAATTTCATTCACAAATTTGAAAAGTGAGACTGAATGTATTTGATGTGTCCGCATGCAACCTATGAAGTTCAGTCAAATCTAGAGGTTTCAATAATGGGGTGGCACAAAATTTGAAAAATGGTAGGTTGTTTTATCAGGATCAAAAATGACACTTTGGTTGACAAGCGAATTTTGCATTTGCGAGGCGGAGCGCCTTGCGAAGCCGAGAGAAAGCAAAATTTGTGAGAAAGAATAATCCCTTGTGAGTATAATTTTCAAAAAAATGTCCACTGTAAAAAATAAGAGTTATAGGGGGTGGTAATTTATAACGTGTGACCCGGTACATATTCCAGAATAATAATAAAACTCAATTAATATATAGGAGATCGAGTGACCAAGGATTTTTTAATCGCCTTAATTACGCTATACAAGATGATTTCATACCAATGAACAAAATGAGAGTGTAGGTTGTGTGCATCAATTTCCTTCTGATGCCATTTTTATTCAGTTACATTATAACAGTGAAATCATTTCATACTACAATTTCATCTAATCAACACAACTGTTATAGATAGAATATTCATTAGAGGTATAATATACCTACTTGACATTCCAGAAGACATGATTTATTTCCTAATAATAAGTATAGATATAGATAACTATATCACAATCTTCGTTTCTCGAGGTAAGGAAATGAACTAAGAGGCATACAATGCACCTCATTGTTTTATCAAAAACAGTTGAGAAAGAATAACAGTTTTGGGTCATAGCCAAACTTGTTTTTATCACAGTAATGGATATGGAGTTTTGAAGTACCTATCTTCACTTAAGACAACTTCAATAAATTATATCGTTCAGATACTCACAAACTATCAGTATATTTGAATAGAAGTCCCTGAAAAAAGTAATAGAGATAGCAATAATTCATTTTGAAAAATTGTATCAGTCTTCTCAACTCGAGAACGTGATGCTCAATTGTTTTTTATTCTTCCATTATGAAAAGCTTTGAAGATATATACTACTAGTTTCCCAGATAGCACGGGACGTCCCAAAGACGTCCATTTTAGGTCCATTTTTGGTCTGAACGTCCAGGACCTTTTATGGACGTTCCATTATTGGACATACTCCGGACGTCCAGAAAAAGACGTCTTTAAAACGTCCAATTTACAGACTCTCACGATATATCAGTTTAAATTGATATAAGTAGGTAGGTATATATTTATTTTGAAATTAGAATTATTGAATTGAATATGGACATAAATGATGTCAAAAAATATATTATACATCAGCTGTATCAATATATTGAATTTCATTTTATTATTAATATTATGAATTTGAAATATTTATGATTTTAACTGATTTGTACCTACTTATATGTTGAATTATATTACTTCAATCACATAATACCTATTATACAGTTTGACCATTCTTAAACCCACACTGAAGTTTTTATACAAGCCGCGCTTTTATAATAAGATTTGATTGAATCACTGAATATGTAAAGCAACCGTAGAACGCATGCGTGCTCAGCGTTGCCAGACTTACTATTTTAGCATTAGATCTACTGTTTTTGTGTCCGTTCTACTGTTCAACTATTCAGGGCAATGGTCTGATTGGTCATGTTTTGATATGACGTAACTACCTAATATGCAACAATGAAAAATTGATGGGACATCACAGTGAGAAGATGTATGATGAAAATATACTGCAACTATCATTTATTCAGTCTGATTAGTAAAAATTAGCTTTTATTTCCGACCTGGTTGCGGTTTTTACAAATTTTATTTTTTATTTCATTATTATTTGTTATTATTCGTTCAATTTTTGATAGGTATAGAGACCGAACATGATTTTTTTTTCGTTCATTATATAGGTGACTATGTTTTTCCAATTATGATAGCAAATTGTGATGCTTGTCAAAATCTTCTGTTCAGTTTTGATGATGTACTGTTTTTTCCCCACCCATCTACTGCTTCGACAAATTTTCATCCGGCAACACTGTGCGTGTTACGTGTGAAACGAAATCGTAAGATGATGAGAAAGGGAAATGGGAAGATGGCGTCCGTCAGTTGACCACTGCCGAGTGCCGATTAAACTGTGATTCAGGTCCAAGGACATTCTGAACTTTTCGGGTTATTTGACTGTAAAAGCAGTGAATAAGTGAAATCTTTGCGGACATCATCTATCAACTGGTGAACTTCGATCTGGAGTTCCATCGAGATGTTTATTTGTGCTAACAGCAGCATGAAGGCAAGTATGACTATCGACGCTATCGTTTTATTTTCATTCGCATGAAGATGCTCGAGTAAGAACATCAAATCTGGAGTTGAAAACATTAGATACTAAATAATTTGATCTCATGCAAAGCTCTACCTAATCCTATTTCCATCATCTACCAAAGTTTATATTTTTGTATATAGTTAAAACATAATATAATTCGTGCAAGGTTCATAGAGCTACCTAAGAATCAGTTTATTTATGGAATAAGTTCTTAATGAAATAAAAATAATGAAGTTTTCCGCTATACTGACTACTACACGTTGAAAGTGGGTGTGTGTTTATGGTTTATGATATTGACAGAAGATGTTATTGAATATTATTATCATTTACAGATCCAGTGAAGAAGACAACATAAGGCAGCCAATCAGAAAAATACATAATCGCGCTTGCGTACCTGGATGAATCACGCGACGTCTTTAGTGGTGCAGCTGCATCTCTGTTCATATTATTGTTTGCGAATAAATGTTAACTAATATTCAAGTTTTTCACTCTTCAGATGGGTCAGAAAATCAATAATCAATATTGTCTGAATGTCCTCAATACGTCCATTTTTCATACCAAAAAGGTCCTAGTCTGGACCTAAACTGGACGTCCCCAAAACATCCTGATTAGTAACAATGGACGTCCTCAAAACGTCCATAAGCCGTCCGTCGTCCGGAAATGGACGTCCCCAAAACGTCCTGAATGTCCAGAGTGGACGTTTTTAAAACGTCCATAAGACGTACTTGTGCTGATTGGGTTGTTGTTGCATCTCTGATACAAAGTTACCAATGGTGGACATTTGATTTGAATGACCCTCTGGCCACTATCGGAATGCATAAGTAATTATCGAATATGAATATGAAAAAAAATAGACATGACTTATTTTCAACATAACTGGTTATCACAAAACACTATTCAATCATATATAGGATTTCATTTTGTTGAAGGTAAATATATGATAGTGATACAGAAGTATCTTTCTATCCAACTTGAAATTCAATTCAACGATTGTGTTTTAACTTTTCATTCCTGGAAATAGGAATACTAGGGATATGAGACGGACAAAATTGAAAATTCCTTCGCTTTAAAGTATATGACATGAACTGCTGATATTAGCTCATGAGATATCGGAAAAACTTTAATCGAATTTCATCATTTCTAACAATTAACAGAGGCGTTAAGGTGGACCTAGATAATGGAGCAGGTCGGGGGACAGTTAATCGCAAGGATACAAACTTCATGAGGAGTTTGATGAGGCCACACTGAGCACAGTATTTTTATGAATGCTCGCAGCACGGGCTGTTGAAATATTTCATATCATTTGCCGCTCCATACTCATGTTATTATTTATTACTACAACGTTGTAGCGATCGAATGTTATAGCACAGTTAAAAGAATACAAATTCATTTGTATTCTTTAACAAGGGATATAGTCAGGTCAGACATAAATAAGTGAAAAAATGCAATGGTCATTATGATCATTATAGAAACCCTGTAAGTATAATGTTCTGCGGCATGAAATTGTCTTATCTAGATTGCTATATCTGGCAACACTGATGTACTTAATGCTGACTTCCAATTTGTACTAATATTACATGTTACATCTATTTTGGACAGAAACATATAGGTACTCATCTCTGAAATTTACAGTTGCAACTGTGAATTAGGGTATGTTCCGTGAATCAACTTGGTTATTTCGGTTAGAAGTTTTACGTTCCGTAAATATCAAATGTTCGGTTGGTTCCTGAAAAAATAGATATTTACGTTACTAGTCCGGTAAGTTTACCGGACGTGTGACGTATAACATTTTATTTCATACTGCTAAAAAACAAAAATGAACAGTGAAAAATAAAATATTAATCTATTTATCTGCGTCCAGTAATTTCAGAATTTTGCATTCACTCCCAAGATAGCTGGCAGGTAGTTTCCTTAGAAACATAATTTTTGTTTTAAATAATACTGTCATCACCAAAAAAATAGCGACATTTCTGGGGCTGCCTGAAGCAGATAAGTTTACGGGGCATTGCTTTAGAAGAACATCTGCCACAATACTGGCTGATGCTGGAGCCGATCTTCTGGTACTTAAGAGACACGGGGGATAGAAGAGCTCTTCGGTGGCGGAAAAATATCTCGAGGATTCGATCGAGGGGAAAAACAGGGTATCTCGCATGATTCAACATGGAGAAAACTTTGTTGAAGTGCTACAACAAAAAAATGGGAACGTATCAGAAAGTAGCAATAACTCCCTAATAAATAATTCATCCAATGGAGCTCCTGGTATCCATATTCATGGGAACGAAAATTTAACGGTTAATATTGATATAAACAATAAGTAATTTCTGTGTATTGTTTTGCTGAATTTTTAATAAATGTATTCATGCTTTTGACGCATAACTGAGTTTTCAATATTTACAATCCGGTAAAATTTCATTACGGGATAGTAGCACGTAATGAAATATTACGTGCGCCTATCCTGTAAAAGTCTATTTTCCGGATTGAAATCAGGTACGTAAAGGTATGTTCTATGATGCAGTATGAAATAAAGGTTATTTACGGAAGTGGGTTGCTGAAAAATCGGTAGATTCACTGTTACCAGAACGACCGTCGATTTTCTCTGGTGAGTTCGGTAAGTTTTACTTGACGTTGACGTTCCATTCGGATCTTCACTATTTTCTCATTTATTTCAGCTTTGATATACAGGGTGTTTCACAGGTAAAGGGAAATATTTCAATGGTAGATAGGGGTCACCAAGGTGGTTCTGAAAATACCATATTTGATAGGTCTTAGAGTTTTGATAACGGAGATACAGGGCGATTTATCGATTTCGAATAATTATTCATTCGTCTATAAGTATTGAAGTACCCAGTATATTTTTCTAAAATTTTGTATTGAGCTGAAACTTGGGACGTTGAATGCATTCACCTATCGGGCGAAGTGAAAATCCAGGTTCGGCTTCAGGAAAAATTTACATTTATTCGAAATATTAAAATAACACACTGTATGTAATAATTGACAAAGTTCATCAAAGGAATCGTGAAGAGGAGGAAAAACTGAACTGGATTTGATGCTTTTTGTTTTCCCGCCACCAATTCTCATCGTAACAATCATAAACAGGAAGCTAAAAGTATGTCAATTTGAAGAGTATTAAAATTATGAAACCACTTTCAATTATGATTATTTGATATATTCTTGTTGAATGATCGTTCGAAAGAACTTACTTAGTCTCACAGTCTTTATAACAGAAATACAGGGTGAATTATCACTCGTCCAAAAGTATTAAACTACCCATCGCAGTAATATTTTCTCAAATTTGGTATTGAGCTTACTTGGGACGATGCATTCATTGACCTATCAGGCAGAATGGAAATACAGGTTCAGCTTCAGGAAAAGTCTCATAGTCTTTATAACAGAGATACAGGGTGAATTATCATCGAATTATAATTCCGCCTGATAGGTTAATGAATCCATCGTCCCAAGTAAGCTACATACCATATTTGAGAAAATGTTACTGGGTAGTTTTATACTTATGGACGAGTGAATACTTATTCAAAACCGGTGATCCGCCCTGTATCTCCGTTATAAAAACTGTGGGACTTAGTGAGTTCTTTCGAGCGATTTTTTGACTAAAATATATCGAATAATCATAATTGACACTGGTTTCATAATTTCAATACTCTTCAAATTGACATGCATACTTTCAGCTTTCTGTTTATGATTGTTACGATGAGAATTGGTGGCGGGAAAACAAAAAGCATCAAATACAGTTCAGTTTTTCCTCCTCTTTACGATTTTTTTGATGAACTCTGTCAATTATCACATACAGTGTGTTATTTTAATATTTCGAATAAATGTGAATTTTTCCTGAAGCCGAACCTGGATTTTCTCTTCGCCCGATAGGTGAATGAATTCATCGTCCCAAGTTTAAGGTCCATACCAAATTTTAGAAAAATATACTGGGTAGTTCAATACTTATAGACGAATGAATAATTATTCGAAATCGATAAATCGCCCTGTATCTCCGTTATGAAAACTCTAAGACCTATCAAATATGGTATTTTCAGAACCACCTTGGTGACCCCTATCTACCATTGAAATATTTTCCTTTACCTGTGAAACACCCTGTATAGGTACTCACCATTGGCTGAAATCACCCTGGCCCTGGCCAGGTCTGCCTTATTACCTACGACGATGACACTCTTGTCGTGAGTGTAACCCTCCCTCCACAGGTAGTTGAGAGTTTCCTCTGCATTCTGGAAACTGGATCTCGATACCACAGAGTAAACCATTACACAGGCGTGCGGTTCGTATGTGCTCAACGAATTCTCCACCTGAAATTCCAGAGCAAACGCAATTAATTAGCAGACGATAACAGTTTCCTTTATATAGATGTGAGTTTGACTAAGGTGAGGGTGTTTGTTCTTTAGCAACGTTGATGATTATTGAGAAATGGAGAAATTCATACAACTTGATTGAAATATATCATCTATCCGCCAACATTGAATCACTATAGGCTATAGAAGTATAGAGGTTGTCCCATAAACAGTGTTCCAAACGTCCTCAGAGGCTTTATAAGTAGAAAAAGTGAACCAAGAATATTTTATCATAGTTGAAATTATATCAATCCATTTTATCGTATAACATTCGATTAAAGGAAACGTGCAAGGAATGAAGTGAATGACTGTTGACAGTTGTCAAAAAATAAAATTAGATTGACGAAAAACGAAAATTTTTGAAAGATGTAGTAATTCAGAAGACATTTTTATGACTTTCAAATAAGACAGGTTCTATATCTTTATTCCCATGATGAAATGTATTCTCTCGCAGAAAATAACTTTCATCAATCACCACAATCACTACCTACTAATATGCGTTAATTCATTTTCTTGATTTTTCACTAAAGTATTTTGATCATATATATCATGTATATGATATATGATCTGTAATATGCTAATTTCTCTCGTGGAAGGATTGCAACTTGAAGTTTCTCGTTTCATTTGTAAACGTCATTCTGTTCCCACCACCGTTACCAGAATGGAACAAACGCAACTACTGGCATATGAAGTAAAACGCAGACGATGGCAAAATATTCTAAATGAATATAGAAAAACCGATAGGTCAAGAGGACAGTTAGGATCTGATCAGCCAACACCCACTATGGTTTATCTCCTGCATAACTGTAGTGTATTCAACTCAGTATTCGACATGTAATAATTAGAACACTTATCAACACCCTGTATCTTATGCTTTGCATTGTTATTAGCAGCCATCACAAGTCAGATGCGCATGTGTCTCTAGGCATAGATTAGGTGAATATGATGGTCTGAGAGGCCAGTATGTCGTAGAGTGCGAGGAGCAATGAACTCAATATAGAGCCTAAAGTTTTCGAACAGAACTGTTTTTATTTATCGGCCTCCCAAGCTCACCAGGGGCGGATCCAGACGATGTTTGAGGGGGGGGCCATAGAAAGTCACGACTCAATAAGGTTTGCGCGGAAGAGAAATTATATGGTGACCTTCTGAGATAAATACTTTTTCATTAAAAAAATTGATTATAGAAAACATGAAATCTTTAGTTTCCTCTCAAGTATCGAAATTACTAGCATAAAAAAACAAGTTCAAACTATTCTTATTCCATCAATATATGTAGAATTCTTGATAAATCATATTGGATAATAAAAATTAATAAAAAAATATTTCTCTTGAAGAGCTTGGGTTCAAAAGTGAATAAAAATATTTCTTTTGAAAAACAAAACGAATGAAACAGACAAAAATAAGAATATATAGAATGAAGAAAACATTCTTCTATTCTTCTGCCTAACGTATCTTTGGATGATATCATCAACATTCAGACTGCTGCAGATGCCCCTGTGAATATGCATCAATGCCAATCCATTTAACCTGTCTTGGACCATTCTGGATCTTATCCAATCTTTCAGCCTTCTGAGTGTTGAAAAACTTCTTTCAAAAGATGCAAGACTTACAGGCAGGCAACATAATGGTTCCAGAAGAATGTTTATGTTAGGAAACAAATGTTTGTTACATCCCTTCAGGGCAGTTATACCATTGTTTGGTATATTTTGCTTAGTATCCCACATTCTCTTCCATATATAAATTTCAGAAACGATCTTCTGAAAGGATATTTCATCATTCTCCTCAAAAATGGTCGGAAACTGTTGGAGTATATCTCTCAAACCTCATATATTCCCTCATCTGTTTTGTTTTTAGTTATTGATGGCACACAAAGGTGAAGGTTGTATGGATTCAATTTATTTTCTGATAGTCTATCATTCAGATGAAGGATAATACTGGGATGAAATAGTTATTCTGTAATGGTCATCCACTGAGGAAACCGTAGGATTCGGTCTATGAACCAGTCTCCCTGTTATTCTCGGCATCGAAAATTCAACATTCAGTTCTTTCAATTCCTGTTTGGCTTCATTCAAAATACTTAGATAGTATTTAGAATATCATCCCTTTTATTTTGATGCGTCATCAGAAGAGTGATACTAACTCATTAGCTTGTTTTTTGTCTAAGTTTTTTGTTTGGAGCAAATTACTGAGTAGCAGTGTTATCGAAAACATATTTGCCAAACAGCAATTTGCAATTCCTCAGAACTGTTGCGAAGTTTCTAGCTATAAAGACATATACACTAATTTTTTCATTTATTTAAAATACCTACATTTTTACATATCCATGAGGTTCCTGAGGGGGGGGCCATGGCCCCATGGCCCCCCCCTTGAATCCGCCCCTGAAGCTCACCTCCAAGTCATCAGCCTGATGTAGCCACAGGTCGTGACAATAATGAAAAAAGGTGGAACCAGATGTGATCACAAAGTGTCCCGTTGGGAAACGGAAAAACTTCAACGGTGGGTAGAGCTCGTCAAGGAGATTCTGAATTTACCATATTTTTGGGGTCTCACAAGTTTTCCGAGATATAGGATGTTTTATCAATTTTGCCCAATTCTTTGTGAGGACATAACTTACCAACCAGTATATTCTTTTGGAATTTGGTACACAATTCCTCCTTCTTCTACCCAAGCATATCACCTATCAGTCGCGTGAAGAATTCAGGTCCGGATTAACGAGAATTGATCATATTTCTGGCCCCCAAAAATAATACCCTGCATTTTCGAATTTTCAAAATCCGCTTACATATTTGAAAAGTGCACCAAGAGCAGAATCGAATGGTGTACTTTTTATTTTCCCGCATGCTATATTTTATGCATTTGGATAGGTGAAGAATATTTTTGAGTTTTTCCAAAGGAATAATGAAAATCATCACGAAACACCTAGTGAATTCATTCGTAATTTAGTACACAAGACCTTTCCTTTCACCCAAGCAACTCACCTATCAATCACGAGTAGAATCCAGGTGCGGATTAACGAGAATTGATTATATTTTGGGTCCGAAGGAACACCCAGTATATGCGGATTTCTAAAATTAAGGAAATTAAACATTTTCAACAGTGATATGTCATTATATCGACTTATTTGAATTATTTCTTTACACGAATATATAAGTAGGTATACTCAATAGTAATTTTGAAATACGTGAAGACACACTACTGGCTTATTCACCCAGGGTACACTAGCATGTGGGAAAATAACAAGTACACCATTCGATTCAGCTTCCTGTGTACTTACTTTTCAAATATGTAAGCAGATTTTTGAAATTCGAAATTACAGGGTGTTCTTCTTGGGCCCAGAAATATAATCAATTCTCGTAAATCCGGACCAGGATTTTACTGGTGACTGATATAGGTGAGTCGCTTGGGTAGAAGGGGGGGGGGGCATTGTGCACCAAATTTCATAAGAATATACTAGGTGGTTCATGATGATTTTTGTTATTCGATCGGGAAAACTCAAAATATTCCATTTTTACCTATCTAAATGCCTAAAACCTCAAATTCAAAATCATAAATTCTTTCAAGTTTCCTCAATCCGGACCTAGATTCTTTTCTCGACTGATAGGTCACTTGTGCACAGAAAAAATGGATTCTGTACCAAATTCAAAACAATATACTGGGTGGTTTGTATGCTATGTTGTCACAAAGAATTGAGCAAAATAGATAAAACACCGTATTTCTCGAATATAAAACTTGGAGGACCCTACAAATATTGTATATTCAGAACCACCCTGATGAGCTCTACTCACCGTTGAAATTTCTCCGTTTCCAAATGGGACACCCTGTATATGCAGAACCTCTCTTTCACAAATATAATTCACCTATACCAAATCTCATTCATTGCATTTTGATACAACTAATATTCTAGAAGTTATGACTTGGCTATGAAAGATTCGTTGACACCCGGTGTACATACTATAGTATACATACATTCTGATATCATTGTGATCGGTACTACCAAAATTCCAACACCATGAGTTGTCGCAATTGAAACTGAAACACACTATATATTATATGTTTCATCCTCAATGCACGCGATTCAGCGTGGCATCAAATACAGACTTGTATTTGATGAAAAATGGTGAATCTAAAATGAGAGATATTGCTCTCATAAAAACTATATTTTATCTTGGGATAGATGGCTATGGCTTCGTTGATTTATGAATATTTCCTTCTCAGCAGAGAATGCACAGTGCAGCATTGAAATTGGCGACCACAGGAGGTTGATATATGTTATATCACTTCTTTCAAAATAGACTTTGAAGGAAAACACGTTATTATACAGGGTGATTTATCACCAAAGATTCAATGATACAAAATTATATCAAGTGAGTATAGTACGACGACTTTGAGACAACTTTGAGCACTACTTCAAGTACGACTACTAGAACGACTACTAGAACGACTTCAAGTACGACTAACAGACTTGTTCAAAATTCTGAATTGATGGCCCCATCTTCTGCGCTACGAGGAGATCTTTGTGGTGCCACCGGGATAAAGGTGACCCCTGCAGAACAATGGGCTTCTTTAGAGTTTCATATAATATATATTTCCAGGAGATATGTTCACTTAAACATGTTGTGTTGTCCGGGATGCATTATAATATAGATAATCGTATCGTATATAGTATATAATATATATATACTATACGCTTTGTTTGTTGGTTTGTCAGTTTGTTTGTTTGTATTGAATAGGCACCGAAACTACTGGACTGATTTGGAAAACTCTTCCACCATTACAAGCCGACATTATCCCTGATGAACATAGGCTACTTTTTACTGCGGGAAATTGCTTCATTGTTACGAAAAACGGGTAGTTGGAATTATCCTTCCATGCATATCTTCTTCACATAACTTCTAAACGTCTCAACCGATTGGGTTGAAAACTTCAATATGTGAAACAACAACACAAATACAAAAAAT